CATTAAATATTGCAAATTTTGGAACCAGCTACCTTCTGAGATTAGATCCTGTGAAAAGCCTGACAGATCTAAAAGGAGCCTAGAAATACATATTAACATGTCCACCCTAACCCGTCTAAAAGATCACAACTGCTGGTAGAGTGGGGAGACAATGACATCTCAATATTTAACTACGGAAAGCACACTAGTCCCAATAATAATATAATAATACTTAGTAATTATGCATAATCAATTCTTGAAATTTAATTGTCATTACAATACTTAAAATGATTAAAATATTTATGCAGCAAATGTTCTCTTGCTTTACCACGCTTGTTTCCCTTATAACACTGAATTATAATATGTGTAGACAGGTTACTTTGCAATGTCAAATGTTTAATATATAAAAGACTGTCATGATAATTTAGTACATTAAGTCCTGCCAACCGACCTTACCTTCAGTTCATACTACCTACACAGAACTCTAACTATAGTGTTCTGCTGAATCTTGCTCCACTATTCACAAAACCTATTCTTTTTACTCTTTAATGGTTTAACATCTTATAAACTAATCTGTTCATTGGGACGCATGCACACATATATAATATGTTCATAAATCTGTACGTGGAGATCTATTGGAAGCACTCACTAAGAAAGCTAGGGAAATGGAATGTGAGGTACGAACGTGTCTGGAATCAAGCAATATATTTGCTGTAGCCACAACAATCAGAGCCTAACATCATAAAAGGAGGGAGGGTGGCGCATGCTGATCAGTAGTTATGGTGGTGGACACTAAGGTGAATCGCCCCATTCTGCAGGAACAGCAATATGTAATTTGACGGCTCGAGATTTCTATGAGGGCTTGAATCTTTATCTTGAAAAAGATAATAATGATCGCCTAGACAGATCACGCTTCTACCTTTAAACATATACCATTCGGTCAACCTATTGCTGAGATGCGACCACGTGGGCTCTGCACAGATTTATGGGGCATCTTATAAATTAACATGCTTTCCCTTGTCGTATCTTCGAATATCACTTCACAATGTCTCATCTCATTCATTTTCTAGTAACGTCTTCACTTGCTCATTATATTCCACTAAACCTAACATTTTATAGCTCTTTATGAATTTGATTCGACTTATTTTATTCCTATTCTCTATAGGGTACGTACGGCTGTGCACCATATACACAAAAAGGTATGAAATTAAAACAACCGGCGTGTGGATAATTGTATTAAAACCAAAAGTGGACATCATGATAGTAAGACCTATATAAGTAGCATTATACATTGCAAATGAACTTTGTCAGCCAAGGGATTATAGTCTCCCATTGTATTTCCTTTATGAATGCATATATTAATGATACATTGCATTTACCTATTTCATTACACTTTAATGATTCACATTAGCGCCTTTACTTTTCTAAAACAGCTTACTATCCCTTGTAAACGTTGTACTTACCTCAATATTGGTTGGTTATCGTATGCCTACAACTACGGGTTGAAAACAAAACGAAGTCGATTTTCCTGCGCAACCTGGGGGACTGCTGTTTAATTCAATAATGATACGACATGGGTCAGACAATGAGTGTATTTATATTTAGATATCAAATATTTAGCTGTTCAATCATTATTAACTTGTAAACAATCTACTATTTGACATTATATCATGCTTGGTCGTGCCTGTAAAATGGCATGCATTTTCGTGTAAATTTATGTTTATATGAAAATATAAATTATTATTATTATCATAATTAAAATGCCATAATAAACAGGGGTACAGATCAAAATTCAAACATCAAACAAACATCATAATAACTGAGGAAATTGACATACTGTGTAAATAGGGGTTAGAAATGTAGAAATAACAAAAATAGACGGGATGTTTGGATAACAAAGCCGAGTGTTAACATAACTAGTGTGATGAATAATTGTTTATGCAATTAGGGATTAAATATGTAGAAATAATAAAATGACAAAATAGACAGGAAGTTCTGATATGAAAATATGGTAGTGCAAATAGGGATTAAGAAAAAAACTTAGGAACAACGTGAATAAACAGGGAGCATGGATATGAAAGGCGATGGGATAGTCACTATTAAAATAATTACGTATTTATGATGGCCATGGCAGGGACAAGGCTTACACATATTTCTTTTGGATACATAACGTGGGTTTGAGCTTTTGGATGGCGAGAGTCCTAACCACTGAATCACCGAAGCAGATGTCTCGATTTTACTCCCATTGATAGGTTTGATCGAATCTTGATGACTTTGTCTAAAAGAAAATTTTCTTCCCTGAAATTGTCTTTTTATTATTCCCTATGATCAAATGTGTATTTTCCGTCATTTGAAAAACAGGCATGATCACATGTGATGACTGTTACAATTATGGATTGAACACTGTTTTATGACGTATGTATTGTGAAAAAAGCAAAAACTTCAAATAACTGCATTAGCAATTTGCAATGCTTGCTTTAAATCGAGTGCGTTATGAGGTATTATTCAACCTCTCAGCTTCACGCGGGAATTTCAAAAGGTTTTGTAATTAGGAGGTTATGTAATGATATAAAAACTTGTATGAGATATCACTTAACGAGTTTCCTATTTCCTATTTTTCAGAAAGGAACGCAGACGTGGCCCTGCTAGAGGAAGAAGAAGACCGATTGTCGAAACTTGTTATAAATGACGATAACTAACTTTGTACCCGGGCAATTTAAATCTTGCGTGGTGATAATAGAGACCTTTTCTCCCGCATCTTCGTGTTCTCCCTTCATTGGCTGTACCTGTTGTCTTTGAGTGTTACATTTGGTGTCGGAGGTGTTTCAAATTCAATTTCGCCATGAAATCCGATTCTGCTGACCCTCCTGAAGTCAACTCCAACCACAAAGTCAACTCTCCCACTCCAGCCCCAGAACACGTTCAACCGGTGCGAGGTCTTCCGACATTGGACATAAATAGCGACTATGAAATGTGGAAAATCCGCATGGAGTCTGTCTTAACTGGTCTTCCTGCCCACGCACAACACACTCAGATTATGCTGGCAATGAGTGGCGCCGCCCTTCGCCGTGCTATCGCTGGGGGCTTTTCTGCGCTCAAGCCCATCAGCTACAATTGGCACGTTTTAGATGAATGTTTTGCTAAAGCCTCCAGTCCCTCGGTTTACATGCATATCTTTCTCAGCCGCTATCAAGAGCCCGACGAAACAGCCGTCGATTACCTACATCAACTCCGCGAGTTGGCAACGCACGCATTCCCTACCCTGGCCAACACGAGCCGGGACGATGCTATTTGCAACCGTTTCGCACAGGGCGTCTTATCGCATGAACTCAAGTGTCAACTTCTACGCCAGCCAGCGAAATCCATCTCGGAAGCCATCGAGGTGGCTGAACGATTCGAGAGTCTCGAACGCATTCTAACCCCGACTACCAATACGCCCTGCTATGCTCTCGGGATCGCCGAGCGAAAGACAACCGTTCCAGCACCACGACAACGCCGGTTCAATGCCCCATCAACCAACCAATCTACAAATCCCTCCAAAGATCGCAGCGACCGAAGTAAATGTTATTACTGTCGTCGGTTTGGCCACCGCGCATGGAAATGTGGTCACAATAAGAAACCACCAGGTGAGCTACCTTATAATATGTCTTTATTTGATAAATGTTCGAAATCTCCCCTCCTCCTTGAGGGTAAACTGCAAGGCATAGACGTCACCTTTCTGGTGGACACCGGGGCATCGTCCTCTGTCGTTCGCATGGAATTGGTTCGAAGATTCGGGGTCAAACCTAAACCCCTCCCCAACCAGCTACAGCTAATTACTGCTAATGGGGCCCCTATCAAGGTAACGGACACTGCCACCCTCTCCATCTATCGTAGCGGTACGTCCAACGTTTGCGTTACATTTTTGCGTGATTCGTTACATAAAATTTATCTTGTTGTAATCCTTGCACAAGTACTCTACTACTTCCATACCTATAACTATTAACTCTCATATCAAATAGTTATGGTTAACCAAAGTAAAAAGCAGCGAACTCAATCCCCTGTAAAACTGATGACTAATTTTAAGTCGTTGATTGCTACATCAAGCAACACACTTCCTACAAATGGTTATAGTGAGCCACAAAACTCACTTGTATGTCGTAAGCGTCGAGCTGAAACTGAGGATAAAACTATACTGACAGCTAGTATTAGCACTACTCCTAAAAATTCAGTACCCTCTGCTCATACAGAAACCCTCCCTACACCTTATGTGCTTATCGAAAAGCTCCAGCCTTCAAGCTCTGTTTCAGTACTATCTTCAGAAATAGAACTTCTAAAGTTGTCTATAGGAGAACTTAAGGCCGAGTTAAGGGACTTAAAAAACAATAAGTCAGTAGATCCTGGAATTTCTGATACCAATACCAAAATATCCAATTTATCAGATCAGATCAGTGATATCAGATCGCAGGTCTGTGAACTGGCACCTCTTACTATCCTCATGAAAACTGTAGACCTTAACAAACTTGACAATGAATCGATATCTAAGGTGGATAACCTAATTAACTTTGTTACTACAGAAGTAACAAAACGACTCGATGCTAAACTAAATGCTATTGTCTACAACGTTCCGGACAATGAGGCACTAAAAAGGGTACAGCGCATCCTACTTAGTGAGGCGAAAATGCCCAACTCCAAGACTAAGTGCTACAGGCTGAAGAAGAGTCAACATGAAAAGTGTTGTCCTATTCGTTTTCAGTTCGAAACACCGGCAGAGGCCAGAAAATTCATCCACTCCCAACACACCCTATCGCAAGTCAGAAATTACAAACTAATAAAGGTTGCAGTGGACAAGACAGTCATAGAAAGGCGCGTATACAATCATCTCACTGAGTCTAATTGTGGAATAAACAATAGGACATTGCAAGCAGCAATTATACCCAACCCTACGGGAGATACCGTAGAATCCAACGCACCACCCCTCTCAAACCACACAGAATTATCCTCTCAGAGAGAGACACCAACCGCAAGGCTACTACTATCACCGTAGATATAGACATGTCACCAAATAATCCCGGAAAAAAAGTCAAAATCCCCCGAAAGTCGGCCCTGTCCTCTCCTGTCCATAAGTCCATTAGTGAAAAAAAAGGAGAATATGACCCCAAATCATGCCAACAACAAAAATGGCAGTATAAATAAGCCCACATCTCCCACGATCAATAGTATTGGCTATTTCATTACAATTTAGTAGCCTTGCGGTTGGTGTCTCTCTCTGAGAGGATAATTCTGTGTGGTTTGAGAGGGGTGGTGCGTTGGATTCTACGGTATCTCCCGTAGGGTTGGGTATAATTGCTGCTTGCAATGTCCTATTGTTTATTCCACAATTAGACTCAGTGAGATGATTGTATACGCGCCTTTCTATGACTGTCTTGTCCACTGCAACCTTTATTAGTTTGTAATTTCTGACTTGCGATAGGGTGTGTTGGGAGTGGATGAATTTTCTGGCCTCTGCCGGTGTTTCGAACTGAAAACGAATAGGACAACACTTTTCATGTTGACTCTTCTTCAGCCTGTAGCACTTAGTCTTGGAGTTGGGCATTTTCGCCTCACTAAGTAGGATGCGCTGTACCCTTTTTAGTGCCTCATTGTCCGGAACGTTGTAGACAATAGCATTTAGTTTAGCATCGAGTCGTTTTGTTACTTCTGTAGTAACAAAGTTAATTAGGTTATCCACCTTAGATATCGATTCATTGTCAAGTTTGTTAAGGTCTACAGTTTTCATGAGGATAGTAAGAGGTGCCAGTTCACAGACCTGCGATCTGATATCACTGATCTGATCTGATAAATTGGATATTTTGGTATTGGTATCAGAAATTCCAGGATCTACTGACTTATTGTTTTTTAAGTCCCTTAACTCGGCCTTAAGTTCTCCTATAGACAACTTTAGAAGTTCTATTTCTGAAGATAGTACTGAAACAGAGCTTGAAGGCTGGAGCTTTTCGATAAGCACATAAGGTGTAGGGAGGGTTTCTGTATGAGCAGAGGGTACTGAATTTTTGGGAGTAGTGCTAATACTAGCTGTCAGTATAGTTTTATCCTCAGTTTCAGCTCGACGCTTACGACATACAAGTGAGTTTTGTGGCTCACTATAACCATTTGTAGGAAGTGTGTTGCTTGATGTAGCAATCAACGACTTAAAATTAGTCATCAGTTTTACAGGGGATTGAGTTCGCTGCTTTTTACTTTGGTTAACCATAACTATTTGATATGAGAGTTAATAGTTATAGGTATGGAAGTAGTAGAGTACTTGTGCAAGGATTACAACAAGATAAATTTTATGTAACGAATCACGCAAAAATGTAACGCAAACGTTGGACGTACCGCTACGATAGATGGAGAGGGTGGCAGTGTCCGTTACCTTGATAGGGGCCCCATTAGCAGTAATTAGCTGTAGCTGGTTGGGGAGGGGTTTAGGTTTGACCCCGAATCTTCGAACCAATTCCATGCGAACGACAGAGGACGATGCCCCGGTGTCCACCAGAAAGGTGACGTCTATGCCTTGCAGTTTACCCTCAAGGAGGAGGGGAGATTTCGAACATTTATCAAATAAAGACATATTATAAGGTAGCTCACCTGGTGGTTTCTTATTGTGACCACATTTCCATGCGCGGTGGCCAAACCGACGACAGTAATAACATTTACTTCGGTCGCTGCGATCTTTGGAGGGATTTGTAGATTGGTTGGTTGATGGGGCATTGAACCGGCGTTGTCGTGGTGCTGGAACGGTTGTCTTTCGCTCGGCGATCCCGAGAGCATAGCAGGGCGTATTGGTAGTCGGGGTTAGAATGCGTTCGAGACTCTCGAATCGTTCAGCCACCTCGATGGCTTCCGAGATGGATTTCGCTGGCTGGCGTAGAAGTTGACACTTGAGTTCATGCGATAAGACGCCCTGTGCGAAACGGTTGCAAATAGCATCGTCCCGGCTCGTGTTGGCCAGGGTAGGGAATGCGTGCGTTGCCAACTCGCGGAGTTGATGTAGGTAATCGACGGCTGTTTCGTCGGGCTCTTGATAGCGGCTGAGAAAGATATGCATGTAAACCGAGGGACTGGAGGCTTTAGCAAAACATTCATCTAAAACGTGCCAATTGTAGCTGATGGGCTTGAGCGCAGAAAAGCCCCCAGCGATAGCACGGCGAAGGGCGGCGCCACTCATTGCCAGCATAATCTGAGTGTGTTGTGCGTGGGCAGGAAGACCAGTTAAGACAGACTCCATGCGGATTTTCCACATTTCATAGTCGCTATTTATGTCCAATGTCGGAAGACCTCGCACCGGTTGAACGTGTTCTGGGGCTGGAGTGGGAGAGTTGACTTTGTGGTTGGAGTTGACTTCAGGAGGGTCAGCAGAATCGGATTTCATGGCGAAATTGAATTTGAAACACCTCCGACACCAAATGTAACACTCAAAGACAACAGGTACAGCCAATGAAGGGAGAACACGAAGATGCGGGAGAAAAGGTCTCTATTATCACCACGCAAGATTTAAATTGCCCGGGTACAAAGTTAGTTATCGTCATTTATAACAAGTTTCGACAATCGGTCTTCTTCTTCCTCTAGCAGGGCCACGTCTGCGTTCCTTTCTGAAAAATAGGAAATAGGAAACTCGTTAAGTGATATCTCATACAAGTTTTTATATCATTACATAACCTCCTAATTACAAAACCTTTTGAAATTCCCGCGTGAAGCTGAGAGGTTGAATAATACCTCATAACGCACTCGATTTAAAGCAAGCATTGCAAATTGCTAATGCAGTTATTTGAAGTTTTGCTTTTTTCACAATACATACGTCATAAAACAGTGTTCAATCCATAATTGTAACAGTCATCACATGTGATCATGCCTGTTTTTCAAATGACGGAAAATACACATTTGATCATAGGGAATAATAAAAAGACAATTTCAGGGAAGAAAATTTTCTTTTAGACAAAGTCATCAAGATTCGATCAAACCTATCAATGGGAGTAAAATCGAGACATCTGCTTCGGTGATTCAGTGGTTAGGACTCTCGCCATCCAAAAGCTCAAACCCACGTTATGTATCCAAAAGAAATATGTGTAAGCCTTGTCCCTGCCATGGCCATCATAAATACGTAATTATTTTAATAGTGACTATCCCATCGCCTTTCATATCCATGCTCCCTGTTTATTCACGTTGTTCCTAAGTTTTTTTCTTAATCCCTATTTGCACTACCATATTTTCATATCAGAACTTCCTGTCTATTTTGTCATTTTATTATTTCTACATATTTAATCCCTAATTGCATAAACAATTATTCATCACACTAGTTATGTTAACACTCGGCTTTGTTATCCAAACATCCCGTCTATTTTTGTTATTTCTACATTTCTAACCCCTATTTACACAGTATGTCAATTTCCTCAGTTATTATGATGTTTGAATTTTGATCTGTACCCCTGTTTATTATCATCATCATCATCAGTCCCTTGACTTTCGTCGTGGGGGTGCTATGACAGTTCGTGCTATCAGTCTTCGCCATTCTTCTCGGTTTAATGCTATTTTCTGTAGCGTATCCAAGGGCATTTCAGTCCACTCTTTTATGTTGTCAAGCCAGCTCTTATTCGGTCGACCTCTCTTTCGTGCTCCTCCTACTGTGCCTTGTAGAATCGTTTTGGACAATGTGTCATGTCTTACCGTGTGGCCGAACCATTGTAGTTTCCGTTTCTTTACGATTGAAAGGAGTGGTTCCTGTTTTTCTGCCAGTCTATGGACCTGGTGTAAGACATATTCATTAGTTTTCCTTTCAAGGTAACTTATTCCTAGGATCCTTCTATAGCTTTTGTTTTCGAAGGCTTGTATTCTTCTTTCTGTCTCTGCATTCAGGGTCCAGCTCTCACATCCATATAGGAATACAGAGAGGACCAGTGACGAGTAGAGTTTCATTTTTGCTGAGACGCTGATGTTGCTCTTCCATATTTTCCCTAACTTGGACATGGTGGCAGAGGCTAGGTTTAGTCGAATTTTTATTTCCTTAGTGGACCTTCCATCTTTTGTTAGGGTAGACCCAAGGTATTTGAAAGTTTCAACCTCTTCTAATACATGTCCATCAAGTCTGATACATCTATCTGAGTTGTTTCCTCCGTTAATGAGTATTTCGCTTTTTTCTGTGCTGATTTCCATGCCCACAGATTTGGTTGCAACATCAAGTCTTGAGGTGAGGTCCTGAACTTGATCAATGTTTTCCCCAATGAGGGCTATATCATCAGCAAATCTGAGGTTGGAAATTGATCTTCCGTTTATGCTAAGTGTCGGTGTAAAGTCATGTAGGGTTTGTGTCATAATATGTTCGAGGAATAAGTTAAAGAGGACTGGTGAGAGAATGCACCCTTGGCGTACTCCTATAGTTGTTCTGAAGAACTCGCCAGTTTGATTATTTAGAGATACTGCACTACTAGATTTGTTATATAAAGACTTAATAACCTCAATTATGTTTTTATCTATATTGTAGTTATTCATGACTTACCATAAACCTTCGTGCCACACATGGTCAAAGGCCTTCTTAAAATCGATAAAGTTGTGTACTAGCATTTTTTGGTGTTGTAGACATTTTTCGTTTAGTACCCTTATGTTAAAAATTTGTTCAGCAGTGCTTCTGCCCGGCCTGTTCTTCTGAGAGTATTTCCTCTACTTTCTTTTTGAGTCTGTTCAATATTACTTTCAGCATGACTTTACTTGGGTGGCTGATTAAACTTATTGTTCTGTAGTTCTCGCACTGCTTTGCGTCCCCTTTCTTAAATATTGGAATGATTAGTGACTGAGTCCATTCTTTAGGCCATTCTTTTTCTTGTCAGATTTTTTGACAGGCTGCTTTCAGCCATTTAACTGTTTGTGGTCCACCATGTTTAATTAGTTCTGCCGGTATGTTGTCAATTCCTGGTGATTTATCTCCCTTAAGTGATTTTATTGCTTCCTCTACTTCTGACTCTAGTATGGGTAAATCACCGATCTCCCTATTGTCCCAGCATGAATTGTTTATTAGGCTATAATTAGGGCTTATTTTATGATTGTAGAGTCCCTTACAGTATTCTGTCCACCTTCTAAGGATATCTGCTTCTTCTGTTAAGAGGGTGCCTTTACCATCCTCAATTACGGTTGCTCTATTTAGTTTCGTATTGGTCAGCTTACTCAGTGTTTCGAATGCTTTTTTATTGTTGCCTCCCCTTAAGCTATTATCGATGATATTACATTGTTCAGTAATCCAGCCCTCTTCATTTTGGAGCGTATTTCTTTGTCTACTGTTCTATACTCTTCCCTGTACTGGGAATTAAGTCCTTTCTTCTTTTTTAGTTCTCTTCTTGTATCACACAGGTTTAAAATATCGTCTGTGACCCATGGTTTGATTTTCTTTCTTTTGTTACCCAGAACTTCTGTTGCTGATTCATGCAGCACTGTTTTAATAGTTTCAGTGAGTGAATCGATATTGTCGTGAATCAAGGTAAGTGCAGCGAACTTGCCCCCTACATTTGCCTTAAACATTTCTGCTATGTTTGGGTCCCTAAGTTTCTCTAGGTCATATCTGATTCGAGGGCTTATTTGTCTGCGGTTCTGTTTTAGTTTTAATTTTATAGTCATTAAAACCATGTCGTGATCGCTGCTTATGTCTGCTCCAGGAAAAGTTCTGGTTTTAGCCTTGTTAATGCTTGACTTGAATCTTGCTGGGAACAGAATGTAGTCTATCTGGCTATGTGTTTTGTTGTCAGGTGAGTGCCATGTTGTTTTCCTTGATGTCTTATGAGGGAATAGAGTGTTGGCCAGTGTGAGCTTGTGGCTGCTTGCAAATTCCAGCAGTCTTATTCCTCTCTCATTGGTTTCACCTAATCCAAAACGTCCAGCTGTGCCTGCCCATTGGTCGTATGCATCTTCACCTACCTTAGCATTCCAGTCACCCATGACAATAAGAATGTCTTTTTTCGGAGCCTCATTAATACACTCCTCTAGTTCATCATAGAAGCATTCTACTTCCTCGTCCTGGTATTCAGATGTAGGCGCATAAACTTGTATTATTGTTATGTTAAGTGGTTGAGCCCTAACTCGTAGAGAAATGATTCTATTGTTTACGGGTCTACAGCTTATTACAGAGTTAACTTGTTTTTTGTTTACGATGAAACCCACACCATGTTGGTGTTTCTCTTCGTCCCCACTGTACCATATCTTATGACCCTCTTCTGTAGTTGTTACTCCCGAGCCTGTCCACCTAACTTCTGATAAGCCTAGGATGTCCCATCGGTATTTACTGAGTTCATGGGTCAGTTCTTTTACTTTCCCACAGGCATAAAGCGTTCGAACATTCCATGTTCCTATGACTGTGTCAGCATTTGGGAGTTTTATTAGTCGATGTGTCTCAGTAGCTAACTTATCACTTCTGCCCTGTGACACGGCAGCAGAAAGCACGGTCGTTGTTAAACCGGGCCCCGACCGATCCGGCATGGCGTTTACTGATATTGTTCTCATCATAGCATTACACTGGGTTTGATAGGTCTTGACGGCACCCATCTCCTCTCCAAGACCGATTTTTCCTCAGGGTTGTCTCCCTTATAATCTAGTCTAAGGTGGACTTATATTACTTACCTTATCTTACTTACCTTACCATGTCTCCGCAACCGTAAGCCCTACAGAGACGAGACTAGTACCAATAGATTCCTCTCGTCGAGCAGAATCCAATGGTATATAAATCAAGGGGTCAACGCTCTTCCTAAGGAAAATACCAGGGTTTCCCTGCGTAGCCGTTCCTGCCTCTCTGGTGTCCCTGAGGTTGATGCTGCCTATTACAGACCTATGCCATAGCATACAACCTAATGTTGCGGAGCTAAAAGTGTCAGGAGCTACGCCTGTAGCATGACCTACAGGCCAAGAGACAGAGTATGCCCCCTAGTCTTTGAAAATCCCTAGTCGGCCGAGGAGAAGCTATGTGTCCTTGAGACTGGTGGTAGTGGATAGATCTCATCGAGGGCTATCCATTGGTATATAGCTTCTCTAGGTCCTGGCCTCCCTAAGGAAAATTGCAAGTCTCGGCCCTAAGTGCCCTAGCATAGTAAGCATGAAGCTAGCTAAGTCCGAAATCTGGCCTAAACATGAATAAAAATAATAAGATATAATGTAAAAAGATAGAAGACTTACCAAATTCTTCTTTGCGTTTGGTTTGCAAGCCCCCATAGGCCTGCAAGCGTTGCAGTGTGGCCGTAGTCAGCCATGCTCCAAAGAATTAAGATGACGCTTGAATAATATGCCTGCAAAGCTTGCGTCCTTACCTGTAAATTATAAATGACATTTTAAGGTCATTTATAATTTACAAGTAAAGACGTAAGCTTTGCAGGCATATTATTCAAGCGTCATCTTAATTCTTTGGAGCATGGCACGGGACGGACGCATGGCTGACTACGGCCACACTGCAACGCTTGCAGGCCTATGGGGGCTTGCAAACCAAACGCAAAGAAGAATTTGGTAAGTCTTCTATCTTTTTACATTATATCTTATTATTTTTATTCATGTTTAGGCCAGATTTCGGACTTAGCTAGCTTCATGCTTACTATGCTAGGGCACTTAGGGCCGAGACTTGCAATTTTCCTTAGGGAGGCCAGGACCTAGAGAAGCTATATACCAATGGATAGCCCTCGATGAGATCTATCCACTACCACCAGTCTCAAGGACACATAGCTTCTCCTCGGCCGACTAGGGATTTTCAAAGACTAGGGGGCATACTCTGTCTCTTGGCCTGTAGGTCATGCTACAGGCGTAGCTCCTGACACTTTTAGCTCCGCAACATTAGGTTGTATGCTATGGCATAGGTCTGTAATAGGCAGCATCAACCTCAGGGACACCAGAGAGGCAGGAACGGCTACGCAGGGAAACCCTGGTATTTTCCTTAGGAAGAGCGTTGACCCCTTGATTTATATACCATTGGATTCTGCTCGACGAGAGGAATCTATTGGTACTAGTCTCGTCTCTGTAGGGCTTACGGTTGCGGAGACATGGTAAGGTAAGTAAGATAAGGTAAGTAATATAAGTCCACCTTAGGGAGACAACCCTTAGGGAACATCGCTCTAGGAGAGGAGATAGTTCCCACCAGGAACTATCAAACACAATACTGGGTAGATGGAGCTCATAAGTCCAGAAAGACAGTCCATCTTCGGGAGACAACCCTGAGGAAAAATCGGTCTTGGATAGGAGATGGGTGCCACCAAGACCTATCAAACCCAATACTGGGCAGATGGAGCTCATGAGTCCTGAAAGACAGTCCATCTTCGGGAGACAACCCTGAGGAAAAATCGGTCTTGGAGAGGAGATGGGTGCCGTCAAGACCTATCAAACCCAGTGTAATGCTATGATGAGAATAATATCAGTAAACGCCATGCCGGATCGGTCGGGGCCCGGTTTAACAACGACCGCGCTTTCTGCTGCCGTGTCACAGGGCAGAAGTGATAAGTTAGCTACTGAGACACATCGACTAATAAAACTCCCAAATGCTGACACAGTCATAGGAACATGGAATGTTCGAACGCTTTATGCCTGTGGGAAAGTAAAAGAACTGACCCATGAACTCAGTAAATACCGATGGGACATCCTAGGCTTATCAGAAGTTAGGTGGACAGGCTCGGGAGTAACAACTACAGAAGAGGGTCATAAGATATGGTACAGTGGGGACGAAGAGAAACACCAACATGGTGTGGGTTTCATCGTAAACAAAAAACAAGTTAACTCTGTAATAAGCTGTAGACCCGTAAACAATAGAATCATTTCTCTACGAGTTAGGGCTCAACCACTTAACATAACAATAATACAAGTTTATGCGCCTACATCTGAATACCAGGACGAGGAAGTAGAATGCTTCTATGATGAACTAGAGGAGTGTATTAATGAGGCTCCGAAAAAAGACATTCTTATTGTCATGGGTGACTGGAATGCTAAGGTAGGTGAAGATGCATACGACCAATGGGCAGGCACAGCTGGACGTTTTGGATTAGGTGAAACCAATGAGAGAGGAATAAGACTGCTGGAATTTGCAAGCAGCCACAAGCTCACACTGGCCAACACTCTATTCCCTCATAAGACATCAAGGAAAACAACATGGCACTCACCTGACAACAAAACACATAGCCAGATAGACTACATTCTGTTCCCAGCAAGATTCAAGTCAAGCATTAACAAGGCTAAAACCAGAACTTTTCCTGGAGCAGACATAAGCAGCGATCACGACATGGTTTTAATGACTATAAAATTAAAACTAAAACAGAACCGCAGACAAATAAGCCCTCGAATCAGATATGACCTAGAGAAACTTAGGGACCCAAACATAGCAGAAATGTTTAAGGCAAATGTAGGGGGCAAGTTCGCTGCACTTACCTTGATTCACGACAATATCGATTCACTCACTGAAACTATTAAAACAGTGCTGCATGAATCAGCAACAGAAGTTCTGGGTAACAAAAGAAAGAAAATCAAACCATGGGTCACAGACGATATTTTAAACCTGTGTGATACAAGAAGAGAACTAAAAAAGAAGAAAGGACTTAATTCCCAGTACAGGGAAGAGTATAGAACAGTAGACAAAGAAATACGCTCCAAAATGAAGAGGGCTGGATTACTGAACAATGTAATATCATCGATAATAGCTTAAGGGGAGGCAACAATAAAAAAGCATTCGAAACACTGAGTAAGCTGACCAATACGAAACTAAATAGAGCAACCGTAATTGAGGATGGTAAAGGCACCCTCTTAACAGAAGAAGCAGATATCCTTAGAAGGTGGACAGAATACTGTAAGGGACTCTACAATCATAAAATAAGCCCTAATTATAGCCTAATAAACAATTCATGCTGGGACAATAGGGAGATCGGTGATTTACCCATACTAGAGTCAGAAGTAGAGGAAGCAATAAAATCACTTAAGGGAGATAAATCACCAGGAATTGACAACATACCGGCAGAACTAATTAAACATGGTGGACCACAAACAGTTAAATGGCTGAAAGCAGCCTGTCAAAAAATCTGACAAGAAAAAGAATGGCCTAAAGAATGGACTCAGTCACTAATCATTCCAATATTTAAGAAAGGGGACGCAAAGCAGTGCGAGAACTACAGAACAATAAGTTTAATCAGCCACCCAAGTAAAGTCATGCTGAAAGTAATATTGAACAGACTCAAAAAGAAAGTAGAGGAAATACTCTCAGAAGAACAGGCCGGGGCAGAAGCACTGCTGAACAAATTTTTAACATAAGGGTACTAAACGAAAAATGTCTACAACACCAAAAAATGCTAGTACACAACTTTATCGATTTTAAGAAGGCCTTTGACCATGTGTGGCACGAAGGTTTATGGTAAGTCATGAATAACTACAATATAGATAAAAACATAATTGAGGTTATTAAGTCTTTATATAACAAATCTAGTAGTGCAGTATCTCTAAATAATCAAACTGGCGAGTTCTTCAGAACAACTATAGGAGTACGCCAAGGGTGCATTCTCTCACCAGTCCTCTTTAACTTATTCCTCGAACATATTATGACACAAACCCTACATGACTTTACACCGACACTTAGCATAAACGGAAGATCAATTTCCAACCTCAGATTTGCTGATGATATAGCCCTCATTGGGGAAAACATTGATCAAGTTCAGGACCTCACCTCAAGACTTGATGTTGCAACCAAATCTGTGGGCATGGAAATCAGCACAGAAAAAAGCAAAATACTCATTAACGGAGGAAACAACTCAGATAGATGTATCAGACTTGATGGACATGTATTAGAAGAGGTTGAAACTTTCAAATACCTTGGGTCTACCCTAACAAAAGATGGAAGGTCCACTAAGGAAATAAAAATTCGACTAAACCTAGCCTCTGCCACCATGTCCAAGTTAGGGAAAATATGGAAGAGCAACATCAGCGTCTCAGCAAAAATGAAACTCTACTCGTCACTGGTCCTCTCTGTATTCCTATATGGATGTGAGAGCTGGACCCTGAATGCAGAGACAGAAAGAAGAATACAAGCCTTCGAAAACAAAAGCTATAGAAGGATCCTAGGAATAAGTTACCTTGAAAGGAAAACTAATGAATATGTCTTACACCAGGTCCATAGACTGGCAGAAAAACAGGAACCACTCCTTTCAATCGTAAAGAAACGGAAACTACAATGGTTCGGCCACACGGTAAGACATGACACATTGTCCAAAACGATTCTACAAGGCACAGTAGGAGGAGCACGAAAGAGAGGTCGACCGAATAAGAGCTGGCTTGACAACATAAAAGAGTGGACTGAAATGCCCTTGGATACGCTACAGAAAATAGCATTAAACCGAGAAGAATGGCGAAGACTGATAGCGCGAACTGTCATAGCACCCCCACGACGAAAGTCAAGGGACTGATGATGATGATTACTGACTATACTTACTAATCGTATGTGTAATTTATCGAATTGATGATGCCTGTAAACTGGTGTCCGTCATGTACAAAAATGAGAATTTATTATTATTATTAAATCTTCTGCACTCTGATCATCCTGTCCCACTTACCCCGGT